CGCATGCCACCGAACAATCAGCCTTTTCGCCGTGTAATTCAAAGTGTGCAGAGCATGCAGGGCCACAAACTGAGAATTTGCAGTTAGGCAGGTGGCCTTCGTGGCCAAGCGAGGCTGGAATTCTTGGAGTCAGCTTTAGGAAAGAAATTCCCGTCAAGGGTTTGATAGAGACAGTATGATTAAAAGAGCTGTAGGTTTCATACCATACAGCCATAAAAAGTACTCATTTCTGACAAACCAACTACAAGTGACCTTGACCTTTCCTGAGCCCTAACTCCCCAGAGTGATTTACTAGGAACCATACCCATTCACACACATTCCAAGACCATATGATAAACTGTGCACAAAAACTGTTGGACTCTGTTTATTTTGGGTATGCCTGAACCCATTTTAAAGCACAAGCAGTTTATGGGTACAGTACCCAATGCCACAAATTCACAAACTTTACTGGTGTTCAATTCTGTGTGGATAGGGTTAAAGATCACCTCTAAAGAAAACATGAACACTCTTGTCTTGCCTTCCTCATTAACTTGACTTTGCCTGAGTGATTTTAGTGCAGTAAAACCACTTCTTGGTCAGTTTTTGGCAACGCGGCAAAACAACAGTGGCTGCATCAGCCAAATCGTGATTTTTTTGCCAAAAACGCACCTAAATGAGCGACCACTTTTTTTACATCAAAAGAAGAAAATGCAGAATCTAATTTTTTTTTCTGATTTCGATGTCCTAGACGTCAAGAACAAATGCGCCAGAGGGATGAGCAACGGCGTAGAGAAGAAGCATTGATGAAGCAACAACAGCAGGAAGAATTAATGCGCCGTCAGCAGCAGGGAAGTGGGTTGTCTCTATCTCAACAAGAAATGCGACGCAGGCAACAGTCAGAAGATGCGGTACGTCATGCCAACGTAAGTCAAAGAACGAGAGTTTCAACATTCTCCCAGTGGGTGTGACACATCTGCTTACATTTCCTTTCCAGCAGCATTTTGTAGCCTGCCTGCCTGCCTGCCTGCCTGCCTGCCAAACACTCTGATTGAAAAACATGAGTTTACTGCCTGCAACCTACGCAAGTTACCAATACATTTTCCCAGTCCATTACTTGCATTCGCTTAATTTTCGATCACCAGCAGTGCGCCCTCGGTCGCTTGACTCCGCGAAGGCGGCAGCCATGTTCTTCCTCTTTTTCTTCATGCCATTACTATCAGACATATTTTTGTCCGGCTCCGAAAATTTCGACAGGTTTTCCTTCACTACCTGTGGTTTCGGTGTCATTTCTTGTTCATGTGTTCTTGTGAGCAGTAAGACAGTTCCTTTTCCCATGTATTTATTTGTATTTTGGCCGTTCCTTTCAGCCTTGCGCATGGTGGCAGGCTTTTTTTGTTTGACCTATTTTCTGTTTACCTCTTTCCAGACTTCGCCTAGGTTGCGCTGTGTGTTCTTGTATACATTTCTTGATTCAGAATAAATTTGTATTCGTTTGCCTATTTATTCTGTTTATTTCATGTTTGTGTATACTTTGATTAGCTTCGCCTACAGTTTCGGCGTTTTTTCTTTGGCTGTGCTTCTCTCTCTTTTTGTGCGCTAGGTTAGGTTTCAGAGTTGTGCTTCTAACCCCTAACCCCGAGCACAGTAATTTGCCCTTTCGCTGGGGATTGCTTGGTTGGTAAGGACAGTTGTGTGGCATTTTCAATCCTTGCTAATCCAGGAAATAGGACAGTGTGTAGTTTTACTATTTCCTTCCTTTCGGTCGGTTCGGGGTACGACTGTGCGATACCAGCATCGTGAGTTCGCTCTTCGAGTTTGTTCGCTTCTCACAGCAGTCTGCCGGCCAGTCCCACGCTTAGGGTGATACATCCGGTTGATCAGCTGCATGCCCCTGGGTCTTCTTCGAGCTTCGAGCGTCTTTGGCCCCATACATGCGCCCCCTACTGGCCTTCTGGGGCGTGGCGGAGTCCACCCATGGGAGCGCTACTGGGTGACTCATAGTTGCAACGGCTTTTCAGCGGGCACAGCTTGGCTTACCGTCCAGCCCGGTAACGCTGGTTGGGCAATCTTAGCATCTTAGATGCTCCATGCGAGCTGTCTTCCAGTACCCAGCAACCTAGCGGCCCATCTACACCCTTCTACTGGCCGTCTGGGGCGTAACAGAGTGTGCCCACGGGAGTGCTATTGGGTGACTCTTGGCCGTATCAGCTTTCGAGCTGCCGCTGCTTGGCTTGCCGTCCGGTCCAGCAATGCCATACTGCAGGTTCCACGAGCGGTTGTGGCATTGGTTGGTTGTCCCTGCCATTGTACCGCTCGCCAATGGGCTTATTCCATCTCTCTTCCCGCTCAGTCCATCCGCCCGGCCTTCAGTATAGAGTGTATCTGACCCCGTCAAATGTTGTTGCTGGGCCGGCTCAGTTATCTACGGTATAGTCCTACCTTGTTTACTCCCGGCACTGTAGTTCAGACCGTTCTTCTCGACAGTCACAGTGTTTGGTGTGACCCCACCCTCTTTACATGACATGCCATGTAGTCTGTGTAGCGGTTGATATACCCCTACGTTGACTTTTTCTTGTGGGCATACAACGGTTATGGCTGGGTAAGTTTGTATCTGGCCTTTCGGGGAATTTCCCTTTCACCTACCTTTGGATGTGGCTTCTCGCATGGGTTCAGTGACTAAGAAATCAGAGGGCTCGTCCTGCTCTTGGTCCGTCAAGGGTTTGCCTTCGGTTACGGCACCTGGGTCGGATTCTATTGAGGCATTGCCTACTCTTTTGGCCACCATGCCCCCCTCCCCGAGCCTTTAGGCTTGCTTCGCCGTCGGGGTTTTCAGCCTCCTGCTGTTTCTGACCCGCTTCCTGCTGACACGCAAGCCAATCCTCCTTCCAGCCAACCTTCTTCACAGTGGACTGACTCAGAAAATTCTGCTGGGCAAAAACGTAAATCATCTGGGGTTTTGTCTTCCTCACATCATTCTTTAGAACATCCGAGGAAGAAACATCATGCCTTGAAGGCTCCAGCTCTCTTTCGACCAAAGATACGCTATGTGCCCCTCCTGAGTCTATTTCAGAATGCATCCGGCGATATTCGCCGCCTCCGGCTACTACACATCCGGACCCGGAGCCCTATTGTCCGCCCCTGGCCTGTTCAGACGATTCTCCAGCTGAGCCTCAAGGTGTTTTTCACCAAACAGGTCCCTCTCAACCCACAATGGATGATTGCTGTATGGTGGGTTTTGCCTCTGGCCCTGAGCTTTCCTCATATATTTCTGGATCTGGACAGTCTCCGGACAAGGACGAGCCACTTTCGGTGAACAACCTTTCACCGTCCGAGTCTCACTTGCATCTTTCAAAGCGAGAAATGATACAAGTTCTGAGGCTGCCTAAACCAGCACTGGCTGACGATAGAGGGCGACCTTCATTTAAGTGTCGTCTATCGGGACAGTCCTCATCTTCCCCCTCTTTCCAGAGTTTCCTCTCAACTGTTTTTGCGTAGACGCTATAGACAGACTGGCAAAGGCCAAGTGGTGAAATTCAGGCTATTGTCTGCACTGCTTTTTCAAGTTTCCTTCAGGTGATTATGATCACTCTCTCTCTGTGCCAGAATTTCCGAACACGGCAAGAGATAAAGATTTTTCCAAGCAGGGGCAAGTCTTCCAACGTATTTCAAGATAGGAATCTTCAACGGATGGAGACAGCATTGAAAGATGTTGACCAGGCTGCTTACTCGGGTATCCAGTACATGTCTTTTCTTCTCCTCCTCACCGAGTTTTTGTCCCAGGCATGTGAGAAGGGCTCTGATATTTCTTCTGAGTTAGTGACTATGGCCTTTTACTGTCTCAATGATTCCTTGCTTACGGGGTTCGAGCAGTTTGCCAGGGTATCTCTTCGAGCTCCTCCTAGGCCTCCTGGGCATGCTCATCAACCTTTGCAACCTGCTTTGGAACAGACCTGCTACTCGGCTCCAGCTGCTTCCACTGCCCAGTGTGGTGTCACCCGCCGGCCCCTGCGGTCTGTTTGGGGTCGGTGTAGGCAACTGCTCTTCAGTCGTCAATCTTGAACCTGTTGGCAGCCGTCTTCTAACTTTCGCAGGGTCTTGAGGGAGATAACATCGGACAAATGGGTTCTTGATACTCTTCTTTGCAGTTATCTTGAGTTCACAAGTGCCCCTTGGTCCAACACAGTGTTGCGACTAACTCAAATCCCCATAAATCAGTCCAAACGCAAGGCTTTGGAGTTGGAAATCGCAAACCCACTGCAGAAAAAGGCTATCGTTCCAGTTCCCACGCTCCATGCCTGCAGGGGTTTCTGGTCCACCTTTTATCTAACTCTGAAGAAAGATGTGGGGAAATGGAAACCAAACACTTCCGGATGGAGACACTTCACACAGTTCTTCACTCAATTTCCATTCTGGCTTGAGCATCCTCTATAGACTGCAAGGATGCTTATCTTCATGTTCCCATTCACCCAGATGATCGCAGATTTCTACACTTCTCGTATCGAGATCAAACCTATGAGTTTCGCACTCTTCCGTTTGGGCTTTCCACCACACCGCACCAAGAGTGTTCACCAGAGTGGTGCAAGTGGTGGGGGCTTATCTTTGTTGTTCCGAAGTTCTCATCTTTCAGTACTTGGATGACTGGTTAATCCTAGGTCGATCACCCTGACGGTTTGCGTTCTTACAACTCGTCTCGGATGTCAACCATGACAAGTCAATGACAAATCTGTCACAGATGCCAACATTTCTCGGGGCTGTTCTCGATCTCTGCTGCGGCATGGTTTTTCCTACGAATGCCCGCGTGGACAATCTGATAAAGTGTGTTGCCCTATTTTAAGTTGGTCAATCATTACACGGGCTTGGCTTCAGCTTCTCGGTCTCATGGCCAGTCTTGTCGACCTTGTCCCTTGGTGCCAACTCCACATGAGACCTTTCCAACTCCAGCTCCTGTCTCACTTCAGACCACACACAGACTCACTGGACTTCCACGTCCCAGTTCCAGTTTTTCTAAGTCATCTCCTGACGTGGTGGTCGTCCAAGGCCAACCACCGGCCTTCCCTTTGCCCTCCGGGTCATGACGTGGTACTGACTAGAGACGCTTTGACCTACGGGTGGGGAGCCAGGCTGCGGCCGAATCAGATCTCAGGCCAATGGGAACCAGCCATGCGGACTCCCACATAAATGTTCTTGAGCTGCAGGCAATCTTCAATGCTCTATGTCATTTCCTGCTGCTCCCGACAAACAAGACGGTGCTAGTGCCATCAGACAACGCTGAGGCTGTCGCCTACATCAATCGTCAAGGGGGTACTTGTTCGCCTACCCTTTGCTTGCTGGCCTGGGATCTACTTCAGTGGTCCATTTGTCATTCTGTCCTGGTACTTGTCAAGCGTATTCCCGGTATACAGAACAATCAGGCCCATGCTCTCTCGTGGTACAAGGTTTGCCCAACAGCCTACGCTTCCCCCCCCCCATTTTGCTGATTCCAGGAGTCCTATCAAAGATAGAGAAAAAGCATTGAGGAATTCTTCTCATTGCTCCTTTCTGGCCGAGGCAGCCATGGTTTCCCTGCGTCGTGAGGCTGTTAGTCAACATTCCTTTGTTGGTCCCTGAGCGCCATGGCCTGCTTTTCCAACCCGGCTCTCGCCATCTCCATCTGCATCTCTTCACCTATACCTAACGTGTTGGATATCGTCCGATGATCCTTTCAGTAGGCAGGGTTTTTCTCAAGATGCTGCTGCCCTGGCTGCCAGAGGCAGACAGCTGTCAACGAGAGAGATCTATGAAAGGCGCATTCCACATATCAACTCCTGGTGTAGACAACATTCTGCGAAGCTGGCCGAAGCAACTCTTTCCCTTGTAACAGAGTTCTTCTTGCATCTCTTCCGTTTTAGCCTCGTCGTTTCAACAATCAGGAACTACCGTTTGG